CTGATATATTCACAATGTATAGTACCCGGGATATTTTACATTCTAAGCTGCTCCAGAAGGAGGGGGGTCATTATACATAGGGGGTACTATAGAGCGCGCTTTACGGTACCAGTTCACCCCTGCCTTACAGACAAATATCAAGCCCCTTTTTTAACTGAGAGACTTGAATACACCATGCAAATAAATTTGGCTATGCATTCTCAGATTTTTAGATAGGCACTGACGTCTTTTTTATCTTTCCTTGCTGATGTTAATTTTCATTAAGTATGCACTTAGTGGAGTTGATGGAGGGGAAAGACGATGATAGGTCGATTCAAACGGGTTTGTAATATAACTACGGGAGATAGCTAGTACTTAACATAGATTTATTTTCGATTTACTCTGTATTTCTTTATATATAAATTTAATAAAGTTACTGGCAGTACCACATCATTTTAAAAAAAAAAAAAATAAAAGTAAAAAAAAAAGATTTATTTATTTATTTATCTATCTTATCCAATTCTTCAAATATATAATCAGGAATACATCTATGTGATTTATACTTCTTAACTGCATGTTCCACTAATTTTCCTGTTAATCCTTTTCTATATACATCTATATATTTAAATGATTTCTTGCAAATCGTCTAATAGTCACTACATTAATTGATTCTAAAGCATTAGGAACAACAGATTGCAAACCCAACCAAGAATAATCACAATGTTGTCTTGCATATCTTTTCACTCCTTCCTAATATCTTTCTATAAAATTAAGTTCACAATGAAACTTAGGATAAAAAATTATTTGATGTTCAGCTTCTTCAACAATTTCTTTTAAAAGACTTTTTTGTTTAAGAAAATCTGGTTGTAATAAAATAATTCTTCTTATACAACAATCAATTCTATTATTATCAATAATTTTTTTCTTACATAATTTGCAATCAGCTAATAAACCCTGCTTCCATAATTCTCTTTTAATTAATACAGTTCTTATACCTTTTAGCTTTCCTTGTAATGTTACAACTTCATAATTATTAGGAAATACCATAGGTTGTGATATATTATTTAGACCAAAAACAGCTGAATGCATATAATAAATTTTTTTAGCTTTTCCTCCTCTATCATTTAAAAGCATCTGATTTGCAATAAGTGCATTATCAGAATAAGCACCATAATTAGAACTATTATCAAAAGCAAAGACAGCAATACAATTTGGAAAAAGTGCATTAAAAATTGGAATTGCTTTAGTTTTTAATTATTCTACAACATGATTAGCTATCCAATAATCTTCTTGGTTTTTTTCGGAATTAAAATTATAATAGCTTTATGAGGAATATTAGAATAATATTATTGTTGATTTTGTGATATTTGAAGATGTCCAATAGCTTCTGTTAAAAATTCTGAAACTATAATAGATCTTCTATTATCCTTTTTTCTTAAGGAAAACATTCCATCTTCTATCTAAACACCTCTTGAACCATCATTTGCATAAAAGATACATTCATCATGATATGTTCCTTTTTTCCTTCTTTTAAAACTGGTAAAATACATTTCATAGAATCTTCTTTATATATAGCCATATATTGTTCAAACTCCACCATTTTTTCAAGAAATATTTTTCTATATGCAACTACATTATTACACTTATGTCTATCATAATAAATGTCTTAATGATGCATTTGATATTTATAACCTAATACTTATAACTAACGTTGTGCTGTACTTAAACTAATTGAAAATTTTATAACTTTAACTTCTGCTAAAAGAACTTCATTGATAAAATTTTTAAATTCAAAAGGGATGATTTTATTATTTGTTTTTGTAACTATTGTTTATACTTTTCTGCTATATCTTCATCATCAATAATACAAATTGTTTTTTGATGACATCCTCGACGAGAAATTGGAAATGTTTCTGTTTCTAACCAATATTTTGCCCATTTACAGATTTGCCTTTCTAAATATATTGTTGTTGATGTTTTTTTTAAAAAACTATATTTGTAGCTTGTTTACTAGCTTCCATTTTACCACTATCACCTAATCTTTTTAAGCATTCAAAAATTGCCCTTTTTTGATTATATTCAAAAGTATTTATTATTTTTTAATTATTAAGCAAATTGTTGTAAAGAATTATTAATTTTGCTTTATTATTATCATCTTTTTCAGATTTATTATCATTATCTTCAGGTTTGTCAGTTTCTTTAAAAATTGGTAAGGAGGTTAATAAAGAGGTTAGTGAAAAGACTGATGAAGAAGTTGGCGAGAAGGTTGGTAAAGAGATTAGTGAAGAGGTTGGTGAAGAGGTTTTAGTATCTACTAAAAACCAATTTTTTAATTTAAATGTATTAATGGCTACTTTGGTAAATATACTGTTTGGTTTATATTTATCATACCAGGTTGATTTTTTAGTTTTTTCAATTAAATATTGCCCTCATTTGCTTTTTTCCAAATCATTATCAAACTTCCATTTAAGATTTAAAGGAATATTAATAAGATGAGCTTTATATTCTTGTTATTATTCCGTAAAACTTAATGGAACATCTTCACTGCTGTTATTATCCTAACATTCATCAGAAACGGTAGTGTTGAGTTCAAAAAACTCTGTGTTTTTTTTGCTGCCAAAATAGCCATTATACTTTCTTTTTGAATTTTAAAAAGTATTTTTTTTTTTAGAAATACAGCCCATTTTACATTTCAATAAAAAAAAAAATTTTTCTTATATACAAAATTCAATATATAAAAAACCTTTTCATTAAAAAATTCAATGAAAAAATTTTTTCACTAAAGAATTACAATGCGAATATCATTTACATTGTGTGGCTTATTTCATAATAAATCAATTTTATTGGTCAGATTGCAATCACATGATAAAATTTTATTCTGAAATTTTGCTATTTACATATATGTTCATATAAAAAATTTTTAACTTTAAATTACAATAACTTTTGAAATATTTATGCTAATAAAAAAGTAAACTGATAGAATGGTAGTTTAGATTCTTCTCTTTCATTCTATTAGATTATTTTTTTTATAACTATAATAATTTGAAAGTTATTGATTTTTAAAAATATACAATTTTTGTGTCTACTTTAGATAACCTGCATTATATCAAGAGTTTGTTATATCAAGAGTTGATTATATATGCTTTTTTATGCTAGCTACTAAATTTATAATAAGTACAAGTGACATTTAATTCTATTTCTTTATAAGTTTCTTATTTAATCTTCTAATTGATTAATTTTTTTTTTGTATATTAATTTTTATTAATTTTCAAATATTTTCTATAGGATTTTAGTTTAGAGTCATTAATAATTAAAGAAAGTATCTCAATACTATTTTCTTTCTTCTATTTTTTCATAATTTTGATTGATGCTTTAGATTATATCTTCTTATAAGATCTAATCTATGTTATTTTCACCAAAAAGTTTAGAGATGAAAGTCAAAAGATTTTGCTCATAAATAGTATATATAAATTCAATATTAAAGTTTCTCTGAAAGCAAAATAACTTATTAAATTTAAAAGTAGAAAAATCTTTTTCAAAAAACAATTCTATATTATTATACTTATACTATTATAATATATTAAAGAAACTATGTTATTAATATTGAATCTTATTTTAAAATTTCTTCAAATACACCCTAGGTTATTATTTTTAAATATTGTAAAATGACTTTCATCTCTTTAAATGACTAACTTTCATTTATTAATAAACCAATCTTTTTTTTAATATATTAGATTAATCATTTTTAAATATGAACTTTTAGTAAATACTTAATAAAACGAAATACTTTTTTTATCAGAAAATTACTAAACCTTTTTTTTATATATATAATTGAAATATATTCTCATTTGTAAAAAATAACTTGATTCTAATTAAATTCTTATATTTTTTGCCTATTGTAATCTTTTCTTTAGATAATCTTCTTTAAGCAAAAGTTTAGAAATTTTATTACTAAACTTTTCTTCAAATTTTCAAAATATTACTTTATTATTTATATTAACGTTAAGCTCAATATCTCTTTCTTTTATTTTTTCTTGTATTTGAATAGCTATTATATTATGTTCTTTTTCTATTATTTTTACAATCTTATCATCATGTTTTGTGATTTTTATATAAGGCTGATCTGATCTTTCTGAAATACTTAGATCCTGATTTTCATGATATCTTTTAATATAATAAATAATTGTAGATTATTACAGTGTATCTGTTTAATAATAAATCTAAACTAAACTTTAGATTAGCTAAATGCTCATATAAAAAGATAATTTCATATTAATTTTCTAAAAAAAAGCTTCATTTTTTCAAGCAAAAGTTTGATGAATATCTAAAATTTAATTTTATATATCATTTACACTTATAAATTTACTAGTAATCATATATTGTATTACATTATATTTCTAAAAATTTAAAGGTAATTATATAATAATTTTGAACAATCTTAAGTAGTTAGATACTTATAATCACTACTGTATATAAATTCTGATAAAATTATATATTACAATTCTTGACAAAAAAAATGACAGAAAGTTTTTTTGAATAATAAAAGTTTTTAATAAATAACTTTTAAATTTTTTTTATTTTCAAATACTTTTGATTAAAAAATTATATACTCAAATAATTAAAATATAAAAAGTATTCTCTTTTTCTGTCAATCTGGATTTAAATACAAGTTAAAATACTAAAAAATTAGGAAGTTAGTCTTTCTTTATATTAATTTAACTTTATGCTTTTTATTTCTTATCTTTTTAATTAAAATATATTATTTCTATTATAAAATTTTTAGTTGAACATTTATTTATTAGTAAGTGAATCTAGTTAACTTAATAAATTTTTTATAATTTTAATTTTAATGATTAAATACTCAAATTTAACCTTATTTCAGAATTACAAAAATTTTATTTATATTAAAATATATATTATAGATTTCAAACAAATATATATAGCATTCAAACTAGTAATATAATAAAATACTATATAATTTTTTATATAAATTCTTTCAAAAAAAAGTTAATTATATAGTAAAAGTTTGCACTGCTATTTTTTTGCCAGAGACTGTACAGGAGTTTTCAAAATTTATTATTCTATATATCCTATTTTAAGCCAAATAGCTATTAGATTTATATAATTTTAGTATTATTAAAATTGTTTTAATAAAAAAAATCTAATAACAATAAATTTGTATTTTTAGTATTGATATTAACTAAGTTATTATAAAAAATATTTTACTAAATATTATGATTATCAAAACCTGTATTTTACAAATATATAACATTTTATGAGTTTAATAACTTCAACAAAAGCTGTACTTGTTTAATATATTTCTACTATTTACTATTAAAGAGATTTATTTTACAAATTAATTTTCATTTTTTCAAGAATTATCTTCTAATTTTTTGATTATTATTCTCTTGTTTCTTCATTAAATTTTTCTTTATTTACTTTAATCTTCCTTATTATTATTATTTTAAAATTTATTTTTCTGTTATTTTTTAATTACACTATTATTATTCTTTGTTATTATTTTTATAGTCTTTAATATTATTTTCTTTTTCTTTTTCTATTTATTTTTAGTTAATTTTTTTTTCCTTGTTAATTATATATATTTTTTTTATTTAACATATTCTTTCTATTTTAATTCTTTGTTATTTTATTCTATTAGATATTTACTTTATTCTATTAATTTTTTTTTTTTCCATTTTAATATATTTTTTTTCATATTTTATTTTATTTTCCTTGAATTATACAATTATTTTATTATTTTCATCAAATTATATATCATGTATTATTGTTATTATTAATTATACTGTATATATTATGTATTATAGCTATTATCAAATGATATATCATGTGTTATTATCATTATCAAATATTTATTATATATTATTGTCATCATTAAATTATATATTCTCTTATAAAGCATTAAACAAATTATAACTTTTTCTTATTTTATTCCAGTAAATCATATTTTTAAATTTTTTTATTATTCTGATTTATTATTTTATATGTTAAAACTTCAAAGTTTTATATAATCAGATTAATTATACTAACTAATATATTTGATAATTAAAATATTTAGAATATGTGAAAGTAGTAAAAATTAAAAACACCATCTTACAAAAATTAGCTTTAAGCTATAATTTTTAAGCAATGTAAATTTACATGATTATCAATTTATTTTTATTATTATTAATTATATCAATTATATAGTATTTTTTATTTTATATAAAACTGTCAAATTTTCTAATATTTTAATCAAATAATCATTAATTATTTAGAAATATATGATAAATTGAAACCCTTTCAATATACTATTTACAGTTTTAATAATATAAAATCATACATTATTATGAAGGATTTTCTAATCAGAACTAAACATTATTTTTCTTTTTTTTGTGATAAGATAACAAATGATTGATAAAATGTGATAAATTAAGCTTTTTTGTTAAAATAAAAATCTTTTAAATCTAAAAATATACACTTTTCGGTCAAAAGTATTGGACCACTTTAAAATTATCGCAATTTTTAAATTTAATAGCTAACTTAATTTTTTAATTATAAAAAACTTTAATAAGTAATTTTACATAAAAATTTTTTTATTTTATTCATAAAAACATACTTTTTACAAAAATAATTAGTATTTAGTTGGATAATCATTGCTATTTACTATAGCTTAAACCTTTCTCAACAAAAATGTCTTTCAATTTTATTCCATTTTTTCCTTAAAAACAACCAATAATTCTTCAAGAATTTTTAGATATTATGTTTACAAACCTTTATATTCAAAACATTCTATAGATATTCAATTGTATTTAAGTCAGAAGGTTATGCAGACCATAAAGTATTTGAGATTGAATTACCATATTTTCTATATATTGCTTAATTGCTTTACCCAATGAACAGATGCATTTTGTCTTAAAAAATATATTCTAACTCAATTCCCAACTTATCAGTAAAGGCAAAAGATTATTTTTTTAAATCTACAATTTACCAGAAACTTGAATTAAAACTCCAATATTATTTTTTATAAAATACCTCTATATTATTATGTCTTATTTTCCTGAATTTATAGTGGAAATTAAATAATTTATATCATAATTTCATGAAGATTACACCAAATTTAATATTGAGCATCATTTTGAAACAATAAAAAATGAGATAGAATGGACAAGAATATCTATAATATTTTGTTTGCTATAGACACCTTTCCAAATGCTATTTTTTTCACCTTGTTCAAATTCAATAAGTTTTTAGATTTTTAGCACTAAAAAATATATTTATATTCAAATATTAAAACTTTTAACTATTGTCACCAAGTTCATTTTCGTTTATTTTAACGTCTAAGTTGAAAGGCTGCAGCAGCTGATTCTACACATTGGAGTTTCTGACCTTAGGATTTTCTCTAAGTCCTACAGGTATTCGTTAGACTTGAATCAACTCAGCAATTTATCACGTCTTAGAACTTAAGATATATTATTCGAACTCGTAATGATGAACTCAATAGCAAGTTAGTGTAGTGTATCACAACAATCCTAGGTGAAGGATAACGTTGAAGGGAAAAGTAGTTTGTGTAGATTTAAATTG